TCTCTCTCTCTCTCTCTCTCTCTCTCTCTCCTGTAAACATCGAGTAAACTCAACTCCATTTGAGAATCAGAAAAAGATGTGAATACCCATTCAAGTGAGGAATGTCTTTTCTAGGTTATCGATCCAACGCCTCCACCCTCCTAAAATCAACTGCCACTGTTACCTCAACCATAGAGCTCAAAGAAACAAACCCCTAAGCAAACTTCAACCAAAGATCGGAAATCACCCCACTTCGCCTCTGCAAACCACACCTCGACGAACAAGAAACCAATCAATTCGTCTCTCTCACTCTCCGACGACTTCACCGTTTAAAACCCTAGCATCCATCGGAATGAAGACGACGGTTGATTGCTAGGCGGTGGCGGTTGGAGAAGTACTTTTGTTCTTGAAATTGTGTGAAAGGGAAAGAGAGGTTCAGGCATCGGTTCTTATTTTGAAGGGTAAAGTTGTTTATGTACGATGATGTAAGCATTAACGGGAGCCCTCCTGTTTATAGAGGGATGAGCAAATCGGAAGTCAAGGTCATCGTTATCGGCGTCAATGTCAGTTGCTCGAGAAGTCATGACCTGAGCTTGAAGCTGTTGTCGGCGTCAATGTTAGTTGCTCGAGAAGTCATGACCTGAGCCTGAAGCTGAGACATGACCGGAGATGAAGAAGTAGTGATGGTAGTGGGGGTGTTGGTATATCCGCTGCTCCATTTGTGTGGGTAAACCGGACTTGAGATCCGCCCCTGGTCCATTTGAGAAGGAAAGTTGATTGCACCGATTTGAGTGTGTTTTTAGATATAATCATTGATTCAAACATATTTTGTTCTTCAACGCGATACAGTTCTCTAAGAACAAATTGAATGATTTCGATTTTTGTTTCTGGAACTCAAGAACAAACCCATATTTTGTGTGTGATTTTCATTTCCGAAACGATTTCAAGGAGTATTCTTAAGTGTGTATGTGTTTATAAGAGATCGTGTCTATGTGTTATTGAGTGTGTGTATCTGTATGTATTTTGAAGAACAAAGGCATAAAAGTTAAAGTGTGTGTTTTTTTCATAACTATGTGTGTTTTTGAGTTTTGCATATTAAATTTTATTTATTTATTTATTTATTTTAAAAAAAGTAATACAAAACCTCATAAATGGTCCCT